GAGAGAGAGAGAGAGAGAGAGAGAGAGAGAGAGAGAGAGAGACATGAACAGAGACAAATGGAAAAAAGAGAGAAGCTTCTAAACTACTTATTAACTTTATATAATGGCTATAGAATTTTCATTTAATCTATTCTGGAAAGTTACATACTTTTAAGATTGGGTCTGTTTAGTACACATCTTAAATATATTGGCATAAAGTTATTCTATATATTGTTGTTTTCATTTCTTCTGCCTCTGTACTTATATTTCCTTTTAAATCCTAATATAATTTCTGTGATTTTTTTCATGATAAATCCTACTAAAGACTAGCCTATTTTACTTTAATTAAAGAACAAACTTTATATATATTTCTATTCTTCTTTCCTATTTCATTACATTCTGATCTCATTTGTGTATTTTTCCATCTATATTATTTGAGTTTACTCTGTTAACTATACTTGCTGACTTCAATTGAGTATTATTTCATTAATTTTTAGGCTATCTTATTTTCTAATGTAAAAACATTGGAAGATGTATAAATTTCCCTCAAAGATACTTTTGTTGCATCTAATGGATTTATTTTGTATACTTTTCATTATCACTTATTTCTAAGTATAGGAATTATAGTCTTACTTTCATTATGATTTTTAAAATTTCCAATGCTGCAAAATAGCTTTGTAAATAAGTATTTTTGTAAATCTGCCAATATATTGTTGGGATAGGTTTTAAGAGATTTGTGAGGTCAAAAAGCCAATGTAATTTTGCTATATTCTCCAATTTCTACTTTTCTTTGGACTTAAACAGTATTTTTCTTGTCTGATTTAAAAATATCACAAATAAATTATAAGGGAGCTTTCCCCTCACAATGAAATAGTAAGAAGGAAAAATTGTCTTGGACCATGTGCACAGAGGGAGAAAGTAGACTTATTTATGCAGTTGTGTGATACTAATTCATTGGTATTTTACATAAGACAATTCCTGTTTCTACATAGACTTAACATGTAACTTTAAAATTTTGCCTTTGATAGATGGGAAGTGGCATTTCAGCAAGTTTTCATTTAAATTTCTCTTTTTTGAGTGAGCTTAAGAGTAATTTTTTATTTTTATTTTTTGAACTGTTTCTTCATCTCTTTAGAATGTTTACATGAGGAAGTTGATGGATTTTTCTGATTTTTAGAAACTCATTTTATACTATGGATATTCGTACCTTTCTAAAACAACATGCCAATGCTTTCCCCAATGTTCTTACTTTGTTTATTGGGCTTTTACCATGCAATTTTTTTGTTTTCACATAACCAAATTTAGCTACTTTCTCTATGATTTCTTCCAACATTCATATGTTGTTATGATTTTTTATGGTCATATGTAGAACATTAACAAGGATTTCTGTTTTCCATGTTTTGTGATGATTTCTTCATCTTTTTTGTTGTTTCAGATCATCCTGAGCAATCTCGTGGATGTCTCAGGAAGACATATGACTTATTCTGTGGTTTGCAGAAGGCAGGGACCAAACTGACCAAAGAGGAGGAAGAAGCCTTAAAGAGGAAATTGACAGACACATCAGAGAAGCCCTTGTGGAGGACTGTACTGAACATTAATGCCATCCTCCTGCTAGCTGCAGCGGTCTTTATTCATGGTTATTTTGCCTGACCTCTTGCTGAGCTACTAGAATATTGGCTAGGCAAAGGATAATTTTATTGATTTTCACTTCTAAGTTTGTTGTGTTGCAAAATGGAAAGCAGTTGGACATTTATCTAATTAGATAATTATAGACCCGATTTTTTTTGCTTTTATTATTCCTTTGTATTGATTAGGTCTAAATTATTTTTTTCAAGTCAGAATTTGATATATATGTAATACACATACTTATCTTCAAATGATTACCAAGTCAAGTTAATTACGGCACCAGTCGAGAGTCATCTATTGTGCATTTGTAGCGATAACAATGAAGAGCTATTCAGCAACTTCCAGTACACCAGAGTATTTTTAAATATGGTCAACGTGTTGTATCTTCAATACTTTGAATTTATTCATCTTACTTCTGAAAGCTTGAGAACTTTGATGAACACTCCTTATTTCAAGAGTTTTCTTGCCCTGCAGACTTTAACATTCTGTGTCCATTGGACTGTAGGTAAATCACCAATAAATTAGGTCATACATCTGCATAAATAAGCCAACCTTTTCCCATATGTGTATAGTCCAGGACAATTTCTCCTTCTTACTATTTAACTAGGAGGGTCAATCTTCCTTATGCATCTGCATTTATAAACATTTGTAATGTAGTTGTAATGTTCCCCCACAGAGGAAATGAACATAAATATGACAATAGTAGATGAACTAAAAAGTTTGACCATGTCTTTATAGGAACTCTATATATTTCCAAATTGTCTTTTTAAAACATGGGAACAATCTCACTTCTAGAAATGTTGTGTAATTCACCTACATTCACACAGCCTAATAGTAGTAGAGCTTAGTCAGAGCTCCACTTTCCCAATTTTGACATCAGGTGACTTTCCACAAAATCTCACAGCCTATTTTGTATTGTGTGGGTTCCAGTATTTAACTCTGAGACAAATGGATTGGGCTGGGTATGTCATATTTAGGTTTAAAAATGTCTGTGGAATTACTATGTAATTGATAAGCCACAGAATCCTGCTTTTTTAATTAAAAAAGAGAAAGAACAAAAAAATTAAAATTGAATTTGTTTCTTTTCTTGCATAATGCTTATTTTATCCCTGATATACCATTTTTAACAGATTTTAATTGCTACATATTAATTATATTGAAAGGCAGGGTTCATTCTCCTTACAACCTCTTATATGTAATTTTGTATAACAATGAGGGCCTCCTTCCATTTCCATGCAATTTCCCTTGAGGGGAATGGGAAAAAATAAGGAGAGAAATGAATTACAGTAGATGGGGTAGAGAGAGAAGATGGGAGGGGAGGGGAGGGGGGATAGTAGAGGATAGGAAAGGTAGCAGAATACAACAGTTACTATTATGGCATTATGTAAAAATGTGGATGTGTAACCGATGTGATTCTGCAATCTTTGTAATGTTTTGAATAACCAATAAAAAAAAAGAAAGGCAGGGTTCACTGTGGCAAATTTGGGCATAGAAACATAATTTGATCAATTTCACTCCTCAATATCTCCGTCATACACTTTACCTCTCTCCCCCATCCCCTTTATTTACCCTAATAGTCTTTCTTCTATTCCATGATGCCCCTTTATTCCCTTTCCTTCCCCTCTAGCTTTCACATATGAGAGAAAAAAATTTGATTCTTGTCATTCTGAGTTTGACTTATTCAACACAACAAGATCTCTAGTTCCATTTATGCAAATTACGTAATTTTGTTCTTTATGACATTGTGTGTGTGTATTTATATATATATATAAATAAACATATATATATATATATATATATATAAACTTGGTGATGCATGTATCTCTATAGTATACTGACTTCATTTCTTTTGGATAAATTATGAGGCTAGTATAACTGGATCATATAGCAATTTTATTTTTAGCCTTTTGAGGCACATCCAAACTGATTTCCATAGTGATTGTCCTAATTTACATCCTTACCAACTGTGCATAAGGATTCATTTTCCCCTGAAGCTTCTTATCGTCACCAGCATTTATTATTTGTATTCTTGATGATTGTCAGTGTGACTGGAATGAAGTAGAATCTCAGTGTACTATTGATTTGAATTTCTCTGGGAAGTTAGAGATGTTGAACATTTTTCATGTAATTGTTGGCAATTTGTATTTCTTTTGAGAAATGTCTGTTTAGTTCATTTGCTCATTTATTGTTTTGTGTTTTTGTTATTGTTGAGTTATTTTAGTTCCTTATGTATTCTGGATATTAATCTGGCCAGAAGAGTAGCTGGCAAAGATTTTTTCCTATTCTGTAGATTTTCTCTTCACTCTATTATATCCTTTTCTATGAAGGAGCTTTTTAAATTGATGTCTCCCCACTTATTTTTATGATTCTTTTTAGTTATGTATAATAAGGGTACACTTTAAAATAATCACAATAGCATGGAATATAATTCACTCTAATTCAGTCCCCAATGCTTCCCCCTCCCCATCTCCACTCTCCGCTTCCCCTGCCTTCCACTCCACTGATATTTCTGCAATTGACTTATAGTTTTTTTAAAATTAGTGTCTTGTGGATATATTTGATTTTGAGATTTGTTGAGGTATATTCATGTTGAAAGTTCAGTCAGATTCATTCCACTATTCTTTTCTTATCCTGTCATTCTTTCCTTCCTCAATCTCCTTCACCTGATATTTCCTTTATTTTGAAGGAATTTGTCCCTCACCTTTCTCTATTTTTTCCCCTTATGTTGTATTAGCTTCTATATATCAGAGAAAACATTTGACATTTGACTTTTGGGGATTGCCTTATTTTACTTAGCATCGTAGTCTCCAGTTCCATTCATTTACCTGCAAATGTCATAATATCATTCTTCTTTATGACTGAAATAATACTCCATTGTGTATATATAGACTACAGTTTTTGTTCTGTTCATGTGTTGAAGGGAATCTAGCTTTGTTTCATAACTTGGCCACTGTGAATTATGCTGCTACAAACCATTGAAGTGGCTGCATCACTCTAGTATACTGATTCTAAATCTTTTGAATATAAACCAAAGAGTGGGATAACTGAGTCATATGGTAGTTTCATTCTTATTTTTGTGAGGAATCTCCATTAATCTTTTCCACAGTGGTTACTCTAATTTGCAGTACCACCAAAAATGTACGACTGTCCCTTTTCCCACACATCCTTACCAACATTTATTATTATTTGTATTCTTGATATTTGCCATTCTGACAGGAAGGAGATGAAATCTCCATGTAGTTTTGCATTTCCTTAATTGCTAGAGATGTTGAAGATTTTTAAAATATATTTGTTGGTCATTTGTATTTCTTCTTTTGAGAAGTGTCTGTCTAGTTATTTTGACATTTATTAATTGAGTTATTTGTTTTTCTGGTTTTAAGTTTTTTAGGTTACTCATATATTCTGGATATTATAATGCCCCATCTGAGGAGCAGGTGGCACGGTTCTTCCATTCTGTCACTTCTCTCTTTATGCTCTCACTTATTTTCTTTGCTGTGCAGATGCTTCTAATTTTTATGCCATACCACTTATTTTGATTTTATTTCTTGCACCCTGGGAGTCTTCTTAAGGAAGTTGGTTCCTGTGCTGACATGCTGAAGTTTTGGTTCTACATTTTCTTCTAGAAATTACAAAGTTTGATCTAACTCCTAGGCCTATGATCCACTTTGAGTTGACTTTTGTGCAGAATGAGAGCTGGGGGTCCAATTTCATTCTTCATGTGGATTTTTAATTTTCCCAGAACCATTTGTTTCAAAGGTTATCTTTTCTCCAAATATGTTTTTGGCACCTTTGCCAAGTATCAGATAACTATATTTATGCATGTTTGTCTTTGTGTCTTCTATTCTAGTCCTTTAGTCTTCAGTTCTGTTTTGGTGACAGTACCATGCTGTTTTTGTATTGTAGCTCTGTAGCATAATTCAAGGTCTGGTATCACTCTTTTTACTCAAGATGTGATTCTGCAATCTGTATTTGGGGTAAAAATGGGAGTTCATAACCCACTTGATTCTAATGTATGAAATATGATATGTCAAGAGCTTTGTAATGCTGTGAACAACCAATAAAAAAAGATTTCTATGGCTATTCTGAATCTCTTATTTTGCCAAATTAATTTCAGATCTGCTATTGCTGGTTCTGTGAAGAATGTCATTGGTATTTTGATGGGGTTCCATTGGATCTCTTTGTGTAGCACTTTCGGTTGTATGACCATTTTGACCATTTTAATTCTGCTTACCTAAGAACATGGGCAGTCTTTCTAGCTTGTAAGGTATTTAATTTCTTCCTTTAGTATTCTATGGTTTTCATTGTAGAGTTCCTTCACCTCTTTTGTTATGTTGATTATTAAAACTTTTTTTAGGTCATTGTGAATGTGATAGTTTTCCTAACTTCTTTTTCAGCATATTCATTGTTGGAGTTAGAATAGATTTTCTATGCTGATCTTGTATCTTGCTACTTTTCCAAATTTGTTTATCAGCTCTAGAAATCTTCTGGTGGAGTTTTATGGTCTTCTAAATATTGGATCATGTTTTCAGCAATCAGAAATAGCTTTCCCTATTGTTTTTTTCTATTTATTTCCCTTTAATTTCTTTTTCTTGCCTGATTGCTCTGTCTAGAGTTTCAAGGACTATCTTGAATAGGAGTGGTGAGAGTGGATATCCTTATCTAGTTCCTGTTTTTAGAGGAAATGCTTTCAGTTTTTCTTCATTCAGTATGATATTCTCCTTGGGTTTGTCATATATAACCTTTACAATGTTGAGATGAGTTTTTTCTAACCTGAATTTCTCTAATATTTTAAATATGAATGGGTCCTAGACTTTGTCAAATGCTTTTTCTACATATATGGAGATAATCATGTGATTCTCATTCTTAACTCTATTTATGTGCTGAGTTACATGTATTTATTTCCATATGTCAAACTAAACTTTCACCCCTGGGATAAAACCCACTTGATCATGATACACATCTTTTAAATCTGTTTTTGTATGTGGTTTGCCAAATTTTTATTAAGAGATTTTATGCATCTATGATCATCAAGGATATTGGACTGAAGTTTTCTTTCCTTGATATGTCTTTGGTTTTGGTATCAAAGTGATACTGGCTTCATAGAATGCATGTGTCAGTGTTCCCTCCTTTTCTATTTTATGGAATAATTTGAGGAGGATTGTACTAGTTCTTTAAGGTCTGTAGAACTTGGCTAAGAATCCATCTGATTCATTGGGTGCTGTGGTTCATGCTTATAATCCCAGTGGCATGGGAGGCTGAGGCAGGAGGATTCGTGGGTTCAAAGCCAACCTCAGCAACATAGGGAGGCCCTAAGTTACTCAGTGAGACTCTGTCTGTAAATAAAATACAAAAAAGGGCTGTGGATGTGGTTTAGTGGTTAAGTGCCCCTGGGTTCAATCCCCAGAACCACACAAAAAACCAAAAACCAAACCAAACAAATAAACAAAAAAATCTGATTCTGGACTTTTCTTTGTTGGAAGGCTTTTTTTTGTGAATGTGTGATTTTTTATTTATTTATTTTTTTCTTTAATTTTTATTGTTGGTTGTTCAAAACATTACATAGTTCTTGACATGTCATATTTCACACTTTGATTCAATTGGGTTATGAACTCCCATTTTTACCCTGTATACAGATTGCAGCATCACATCGGTTACACATCCACTGTTTTACATATTGCTATACTAGTGTCTGTTGTATTCTGCTGCCTTTCCTATCCTCTACT